AATTTATATTCTTGTTTTTCATTCCCCAGCATCACTTCCATTAGACTGGCAGCTTCTTGAAAGCAAAAGATGTGTCTTCTTTGGGCTAACCCGTAATTTGTTGAAAAAAGTAGAAATTAACAGGTTTAGTATACAGGAGATATCCTGTGCTTACCTTAAAAGCTATAGTTATGAGAATATAAATATTTCTTTAATAAAGTTATATTTTCAACCCTTCTTATTTACAACGTCTTATCTGACTTCACTGAGCATATGGACCTCAATGGCAAACTCTACCAAAACCAAAGAAAAGAAAAAAAGTGATCATTAAAAATCATATGCAAATTATTCAGTTCCAATAATTTTGCTATCTAGACATAACTTAAAATAGGGTTTAGAGAAGTTTAGTGTTTAGCACAGTTATCTAAAAAGAACACTATACAGCCATAAAAAAAGATGAGTTTGTGTCTTTTGTAGGGACATGGATGAATCTGGAAACCATCATTCTCAGCAAACTGACACAAGAACAGAAAACCAAACACCACATGTTCTCACTCATAGGTGGGTGTTGAACAATAAGAACACATGGACACAGGGAGGGGAGCATCACACACTGGGGTCTGTTGGGGGGTCGGGGGCCAGGGGAGAGACAGTGGGGGGTGGGGAGGTTGGGGAGAGACAACACTGGGAGAAATGCCTGATGTAGGTGATGGAGGGGATGGAGACAGCAAAGCACCTTGCCTTGTATGTACCTATGCAACAATCCTGCAAGATCTGCACATGTACTCCAGAACTTAAAGTACAATGTTTTAAAAAAGAATAATATCCCTTTTAAAGGGAATGTGCATGGAAATATTAGTCACCTTAGAAGTACAGGATCATAAATCAATCTTTTATGGGTTTTAATACCTTACTCTGCAGGAACTTTATGGTCTTTCCATAAAGACTTTTCGTATTATATAAAAAGTCGTGTTTCTAGAACTCATGAAAAATGGGCATATAAAATGAATCCTGAAGGAACAGCTTAAATAATATGTGCATTGAGTGAGAGATGGAAACATAGTCTCAATGTAGGGAGACAGAAGGGCTCAGACAGCACTCAGGCATCCTTAGGGAATATGGTAGATGGGCTAAGAGCTGCCTAGATTTTTTCAAAAACAGCATATTTTCAGGTTCTACTAAATTTTGAGGGAAAAAGATATTAATGGGTCTTAACAAATAATTGAAACAATTTAATTTAATGAAGCGGAAAAATTCAAAAGAACCATATTAAGTAGATTTCCTTAGGCAAAAAAAAAAAAAAAGCCTGTATTAAGATCTCTCAAGCTTGTGAACCCACTGTACTCACAAGGGTATAGAAATAACCTCAGTTGGCCAGCTGCAGTGGTTCACACCTGTAATCCCAGCATTTTGGGAGGCTAAAGCAGAAGGATCACTTGAGGCCTGGAGTTCAAGACCAGCCTGGCCAACATGATGGAACCCTTTCTCTACTAAAAATACAAAAATTAGCTGGGCTCAGTGGCATGTACATGTAATTCCAGCTACTCAAAAGGGTGAGGCAGGAGAATCGCTTGAATCTGGGAGGTGGAGGTTGCCATGAGCCAAGATTGTGCTACTACACTCCAGCCTGGTGACAGAGCTAGACTCTGTCTCAAAAATAAATAAATAAATAAGAAATAACCTCAGTAAAGTAAGGTTCTGGTCTGTCTAAACAAATGTTTGTAAATAATCTTAAAATGAAAAGGCATATATAAAGGGAAATAGAGTATACATAATTATATTTAGAACAAATATAAATATAATGAAGGTCCTGATGTCCTCAGTGACAGCCACTGACTTACAAGAGAATATTTGTGAAAATATATACATATTTCTAGAATTTCCAGCCCGTTGCTATAAAAGTAAGCAAAGGAATAGGACCACAATTTAGGAACATGTATATTAGGAAAGAAATGCCCTCAGGAAGACAGGAACTCCTTCCGGTGAGTGAAGGAGTGAACTCCTTCTTGCTTTGCACTCGTTAATCTTTATTTTAGTTTGAATAAAGGCTTTAACCACAAGAATGTGCTATAATATCATTGGGGAAACAGCCCACAGATCTACTTTTTTTGCAGCGTCCCCTTGAAACTCTATGAAATATTTGATTACCAACCTAGAAACTGTTTAGGGAAGATAGAAGAGAGAAGAGATAGCTGAAGGTTGCAGTGCAAATATTAAATCCTGTGATGAATGGACTTTGCTTGTCATTTGACACAGAGGCTGTAATATAGGCGAACTAACTGCACAGTAGCTTCTGTGGTGATGCTTTTCCTTGTGTGATACTTTCTTTTCATTTGAATTTTGCATAAAGGTTAACACCTTTCATTATTACTTTTTTTTTTTTTTACCAGCATCTTAGTCTCTGAAAGTATTAGATTCAGTTGCCTTACTTTCTTTTTCCTCTCTCACCTCTAGTCAATGACTGGGATAATTGGTTTGGCTGCCTATTTTGAGAAAGGATATAACAATCCGAATGCTGCTCTTCTCTCTGGGTTTAGAATGACAGATGTTTAAAATGAGCATCTTAAAATTATATATAATAAACATGTTTACTGAAAATAAACTTACAGCAACTCTAAAGAGCTGATAGATTTGCAAGAATTATTGTCGTCTTTTACATCATTGATATTATTGTTTGGAAAATCGTAATGAAATATATAGAAACATCAAAAATATTGGCGCTTGAACAAAAGTGAAAGTAATCATTTGTATTTTTTTGTATTTCTTAAAAGTTTCCAAAAGTGAAAGTAATAGTTTGTATTTCTTAAAAGTTTCCAGACTAAGAAAGTTTATTTCACTTTAAATTTATTCAGTAATACTAAAATAATAAACGTATGCACTACATTTCAAAGTGCCTCTTCTCCTTTTTATGTCTTTTCTGTTTCCACTTCTTCCCATGCACCATCCTCAAGGCACTGGAGCTCAAGAAGTTTGAAAGATCTTACAAAGAGCAAAGGAAACTTTTATCACTTTGGTTTTATCCTCTTTTTGAGTACTGTTAAATTATTATAGAATATACAAACTTTTTATGAAATAGCTCTTTTACGTTTTAATAACAAGTTTGACTTGTCCCTTTCCCAACTCCAAACTCAGCTGAGTCCAGTGTGGTAGCTGAGCTAGGACAGACCCAAGGGAGAGAGAACAAACTATACTCAATTGCTACTCATCTGTTTTGTTCAAGGCTTTGTTACTCACTCTAGTTTGTCATGCCTGAACATTTCTTTCTTGATTGGGAATTCTTTTGTAGGAGGCTCCAGGGTGGCTTTAAGCAGGACTGTCTCCACCTTCTCACGATACCTTGAGGGATCTCAGTTATTTGGTCCCTCCCCTGCTGTATTAGAGTTAAATGGTCCCTTAGATGCTTCTGATTTAGTCTTAGATTTTGTATTTTGCACAAATAGCTAACATAACTGATAGCCAGACCACCCAAAAGGAAGTTTGATTGGTAAAGTCTTTCTGAAATTGTTATGACAACTTTTATAAAAAAGTAGAAATGAGTGCTTGAAGATTTCAAATGTAATCTACTACTTGAAGAAGGTAATGGACTTTGAATATTTTGCGGCACTTATATTGATTGGTAAATCTTTTCAATGGTGATGGCTATTTAAAGAAAAGTTACAAGAACATAAATGCAATTTAAAAACTGCAGAATGTCTTTGGAAATTGAAGCAATTTCAACTTTCACATTTAACTACCCAGAACATTTGGAGCAGGGTACCCTTGTATGCAGCAGAGAACAAAATGAGATGGCAGTCAGTGCAATTACCACTCCTAGTCTCTGTCAGGAACAGGAGAAAGCAAAATTGTTTTTTTAGTGTTTCTCAAACCCAAAATCACTTTTTCTTCCCTTACTCTCATGCCAAAGGATCCAAATAGATTATACATGTAATCTCTATGAAAATATATATATTTTTGAGTGTCCCAAGAGCCCTACCACAAGCTTGTCACCTTTAGGCACTATCTCTATGCTGAGGTGCCATAACTCTATTCTGTGCCCTATTAAAAATAGCCTTCTGCAAACTGACATGTTGGAAATTCATATCTCTCCTAGGAATGTTTGTTCTGTAATGGCAGACCATAAGTTAGCTTAAAGGAGCTCTGCTGTTGGAAGTTTAAACATTAGGTTTAAGTTAATGGGGTAATGCATGGGCAGAATTAATTGTAGTCTCATAATTCACCAAATTACATGAAAGTTAAGACACGCTGCAAGTGGGGACTATATGTCTGTAAAAGAAAAGCAATATAATATATTAAGATGAATGTGAGACTTGAAGTTCTGGTTCAACACTTACCAATGTATGGTATTGGACAAGTCTCCATTATCTCAGTAAACATAAAAATAGAAGGTTAATAATACCTACCTCACTGGATTTAATAATGAGAAAAAAGGAAATCATATAGGTTTAGGTCTTTTACGAGCTGTTATGTGCTACATTCAAAATGGACCAGTAGTGGGAACATAAGCTTCTATATCCATACATATGTGTTTACAAAAATTCTACTTTAGGCACAAAGCCACTGTTTAAAATAATATGTATACATAAATATTTTTCATAAACTCCCTCATCTACAGAATTATATGTTTCCATTATGGTTTATATCAGTAGTCTTGGAAATGTTTAGTTTATGCCATTTAAGTTAGAGTTTCAGGGGGGTGGATATAAAGAGGATAAGTATTTTTAAGTCCTTTTAAAAACCTTTGTCCCCAAGTTGCCTTAGTCTTTCTCTCCTTTGGTAAATGAGTTTGATTTCAAACCATTTCTATATAGATGAGTCTGTTCTGTGCATATAAATAATGTTATGGTAAAGAAGAAAACTATACGAGCACATTTTTGTAGGGCAGTGGTGACCGTTCCATTGTGAAACAGAATGGGACAAAGAAAAAACACAAAAGATGTAGTAATGACAATAATCTACATTCTCTTAAGAAGCAAACCAAACATATCAACCATACCAATCTTTATTATTGTTATTGATTGTAGATGGGGCACACTGAGAGGAGCACAAGGGCGGAAAGAAAAATTTTGGGTATGTAACTCTTCCCAGTTGAATCCCTGCTGTGAAGTAAATATGTGTGAATCTTCTGTTCCTCAGCTACGTGCTTGGTGTTAGTCACGTCCTCAGTTGTGTAATATTGTTGGTAACATCAGCTTTTTCTCCAGCACAAAACTGATTATAAACATTTATATTGTATTCGTAGTTTTCCTCAACTCCTACTATTTCAAAACTGTAAAAAAAAAAAACAAAAATCAGTGTTTATTTTTTCCCCAAGTTGAGAATCAACAGGATAACTTTTTGTTCTATTATCTTTTATATTAAAGTAATGATTAAACTTCCTTCATATATATGTATATGGTAATGAACTTTATGATTTTGTTATGTTAATATCTCATATATATGGTATATCACATACATATATATCCTATAGGTTAAGGCTTTTTCTCCCCCTTTTTGCCAATTATAACATACACATGTGTCTTTACTCAGACAGAACCAATGTCTAGTCTCAAAATAAGAGAAAACTTCAGATAAGAAACAATTTGCAGAAGATTGAAACATATTACCTCAAATATTCGGTTTACTACAAGCTGGTCAATTGTCCTAAGTTCTTATATTATATATTTTTTATGCAAATATAATAAAGTCTAGGTGGTAATACTTACCATAGAATTTAAATTTGAATGTACACAGTAGAGGGCATATTTCAGCTTACAAAACACTAGGTGCTAGAACTTGTTCTCATCGGAATGATGCTTGGTATATTTCTTCATAAGGCACTCACAAAATTCAATCACCCAATTATGTGGTCATACCGTATATTTGTGTTGTTGATATGTGGAGGCCTTATGCTTTTAAGTAGAAGGGTTCTCCTTTATATTTAAACTGAGCTTTTAAAAAATCTAATTTTTCTCATTAAAATAAAACAATTAGTAGCCAACAATTAACATTAATGTCTAACAGTGAATAAGTTATAAACTAGAATACATTATTTGAATACCTATAATTATGTTTCTGCATAGGATTTTTATTAAATAAATTCAAACAGTTATTTAATCTCATAACAATATAATATTTAGAGACAAAACCAAGCACTTTTATTAATGTATTTAATAAAACATTCCCTATTTTCAATTATATGCAATGTTTTGTGGGTTAGGAAAGCCAAAATGTTATGCAAGAGCACTGAGAAATCTAGGGAAATTTTATTTATTCACAATTAGGTTTCAAAGTATTTACAAATAGTCCTATGACATAAATCTATTTTTATAATAAAAATATTGAGTAAAACATAACAGATAGCAGCAAGCCATAAATTCCACTAAATAAGTAAAAAATAACTTTTCCAAAATTGTGTTTTTTAAAAATGAGAGTGCTAAATCTGGAGAAAATGTTTTGGCCTAGGAGCATTTGGCAGGTTTGTGCATAAGGTTTATAACAGGCATGCTATGATTTGTTTGGATTAAATTATAAGACAAGTGAAGCAGAAAGATGTGACCAGCAACAAAGGGAAAAATACTATCAACAGAAGCAATAGATAATGCTTTAGATATAGGCTTTAAAACAACCATTATTTTAAAAAATTAAGAAAAATCTAGATAAAAAGATGGAGAATTTATGTGTGTGTGTGTGTAATATCCTATGAATTTCAATGACAGAAAGCTGACTAATAGTTTTTTTTCCAATCTCTCATGCCTTTTCTTATTTTTAGTTGCTACTTCTGTGAGATACTGAGATATGTTTAAATATTTGTCTACTTTTTTCATATATATATATATATATATATTTCTTAGGATATATATATATATATATATGAGTTCCTGAATTTATGAATGCAAACATTCCAAGAAAATCATACTCAAACATTTTATAATCCAACAGCTGAAGATAAAAAATAAACAGAAATTTAAAAATATCCACCCTATTTAAAATGACACATTTTTTTTTAAAGCAGCACTGACTGACAGCTGGCATTTAACAACAATAAAGAAGGAAAGTATAAGTCTACAAAATGACATTGTTAAAGTGCTTAATAAAATAATAATATTGATAATGTTGAAGATAACATGACAACATAAAATTTTATACAGGACATTTTTCTTCAAAATAAATACAAAGTTAAGACTTTTTAGACAAAGAGAAGCTGAAATAACACAGTTGCAAAAGATATACACCAAAAGTCACAGAAAAAAGTAGACAAATATTTAAACATATCTCAGTATCTCACAGAAGTAGCAGCTAAAAATAAGAAAAGGCATGAGAGATTGAAAAAAAAAAAACTATTAGCCAGCTTTATGTCATTGAAATTCATAGGATATTACACATAAATATTGATAAAAACACATTTTTCTTTAAATGTACATGAAATATTTGCCAATATTGACCACATGCTGGGCCATAGGGCATGTTCAATAAATTTAAAAAATGGAAATTGAACAGAATATACCATGATGAAAATTTTGTTATTTAGCTAAAGCAGTACTGAATGTAATAAAAAATGCATGCATTAAGAATGAAGAAAGGTTAAAATTGATGCCCATATTTTTAAAAGGTTGAAAATAATAATTCCATAAGCTAAAAAATTTAAACTGAAGATAAAATGAAAGAAATAACAGAACAAAATTAAAAAAAGAAAAGAAAAAGAAAGCAGATGTATTATAGCAGATGATATCAACATAGCAAAGAGTTGATTTTTTGCAAAGATTAAATGTCTAGGAAGACTGAAAAAGAAACAAGGTGAGACAAATTACCACAGAAGTGAAAAAAGAGAACATTGCTGCAGATTCAACAGATATTAAGTAGGTAATAGGAGGATGTTATCAAAAAGTTATACCCATATAATTAAAAATATCGATGAAATGGGTAAATTTACTGGAAAACAAAACTTATCCAAAACCCACACAAAATGAAAATAGACTAAACAGTTATGGAACAATTTGAAAAAAAATTGAGTCTATTTAAATTACTCTCACAGAGGAACTCAGGCTCAAAAGGCTTCACTGGTAAATTTTTCCAAACAATTAGGGAAGAAATAAAACAAATTTTTTATCAAATTTTTTCAAGGAATAGGAAATAAGAAACAGTTTCAAGCTCATTTTATGAAGCACTAACACCAATACCAAAACTTGACAATACAAAAAAAAATTATAGACCAATATATTTCATGAGCATAAAATTCCAAACAAAATATTACAATTAAGAAATATATAAAAGGATAATACTCCATAAATTTCACTTACATCAGGAATGCAAGGTTGGTTTCAAATATTAAAATCAGTCAATAGAGTTAATCAATATATAAGAGTCAAGGAGAAAAAAAAAACACATTAATATCTTTTTGTTTGTTTGTTTATTTTTGATGGAGTCTCACTCTGTTGCCCAGACTGGAGTACAATGGCATGATCTTGGTTTGCTGTATCCTCTACCTCCTGGTGTCAAGTAAAATTCTCCCTACCTCAGACTCCAGAGTAGCTGGGATTATAGATACTTGCAACCACACCTGGCTAATTTTTGTAGCTTTAGTAGAGACAGGGATCACTATGTTGGCCAGGCTGGTCTTGAACTCCTGACCTTAGGTGATCTGCCCACCTCAGTCTCCCAAAGTGCTGGGATTACAGTCATGAGCCACTGCACCTGGCCTGAATATCTTAATTGGTGCTGAAAATGCATTAAAAAAATTTAGCACTTAGTGTTCTATTGTTGTGTAACAAACTATCACAGATTTAGCAGATTGAAACAACATACATTTATTACCCCAGTGTTTTTCTGGGTCAGAAGTCCAGCGAACCCAGCTGGATCCTCTGCTCGTGATCCCACAAAGATTCCATATAAGTGTTGTTTGGGTCGTGTTTCTTTCTGGAGCTCATGATCCTCTTCTAAGCTTATGTGGTTGTTGGTAGACTTTTGTTTTTCTGGTTGTAGGTCCAAGTCCCCATTTTCCTGCTGCCCGAGAATATTCTCAGATCTTAGAGGATGCCTGAAATTCCTTCCATGTGGCTCCCTCACACAGATTTTTACAGAACCTCTCTCAGCACAGTAGCTTACATCTTCTAGACCATTAGGAAAAACAAAATTTCTGACTTCTATATCCTCTTTTTAGGGACTCTGTGAGTCATATTTGGTCCATGAGCCATAGTTTGCCAATGCATAGATCATAGAAATTTTATATACCTATGAAAAATAAAACTAGATCCCTTCCTCACTAAATACAGACAAAAAAATTTTGATATGGAGCATACACCTGAATGTGATTGCAAAATAATTAAGTTTCTCAAAGAAAACATAGGCAAATAAGTTTGTGATATCTATGAGAGAAAGCTTTCTTAAATCAGGCACAAAATAAATGACCTTTAAAAAAATAAATTATCAGCCTACATTAAAATAAAACCAATTATTTAAAAGATAGTATTATAAGAAAAAGGAAGCCACAGAATGGAAAAAAAATTATCTATCTGCAAAGATATCTGATAAGTCCTTACATATAGAATGCATAGACATTCTTACACATACATAGGAAGAACAAGATGACTCAATAAAATAAAACTCTTAAACAGAAGCATGAGAAAAGGGGGAAATCCAAACGGCCCAAATGGCCATGTGAAAAGGTAATCAATGTTATTAGTTATCAAGGAAATGCAAATTAAGCCCACAATAAAATATCACTTCATATATACTAGACTGGCTAAAATTAAGAGGATTGATAATACCCAGCAGAGACAAAGATTTGGAGTAAACAGAATCTTACACTACTGATGCATGTGTAAATGGAGCAGCTACTTATGTTCATCATGTTCATCACCAGGAGAATGGGTAAACTGTGTACAGTCACACAATGAAAATGCACAGTAAGAAGATGAACTAATTGCTTACATAGGCCAAAACATAGATGAATCCCAGAAACATTACTGTAAGCTAAAGAAGTCACCCTCAGTATATTTTGCATTATTCCATTGTTGTAAAGATCGATAATAGGAAAACCTTATGGGAAGGGGAGAATGGATGTTGACAGGAAGGAAACATGTTAGACCTTC